ACAGTCATGGTTTAGCTTTCTTTAAAGCGGTGCGATGTGCGTCGCACGAACTTAGTTGAATTAAATAATAAATATATATTCAATACAACTAGGTCGCACATCGCACCGTTATGCCATTATATATATATCAAGAGTCCATAATAGAGACTCTAATTAATGGACTCTTGATATATAATATATATAATATAATATAATATATACTATTAAATATATATATTATTAACGCATACATTATCTGTACCGCAGGGAAGGCGGTACATTCATTAGCATCTTATTAGCTTTTACCACCTTACATCACTCGCACAGCTTCATCTGCATAATTATTCATACATCACTCGCCCCCTTATCCGGTTATTTAGATACAAATATATGTAACCAAACAGAGCTGAGGGTTGCCTACTCTGTTAACCTTATACCTCTACGCCTGTTGAGTTACATAATTGTAATCTAACGAGTATCATCGCTCTCTTTCTCTCTCTCTCTCTCTCTCTCTCTCTCTCTCATCTCTCTCTCATCCGATGGGCTTTCTCACTTTCTCAGTCTGCTCTCTCTCCTCTCGCTCATCTCTCTTCTCCTCCCTCTCTTCTCTCTCGTCCTCCGTCTCTTTCTCCTCTCTTCTCTCCCTCTCTTCTCTCCTCCTCTTCTCTCTCTTCTCTCCTTTTCTCTCTCTCCTCTCTCTTCACTCATCTCTCTCTCTGCTCTCTCTCTCTTTCTCTCTCTCAGTCTCATCTCTCTCTCTCATCTCTGCTCTCTCTTCTCTCTCATCCTCTCTCTCCTCCTTCTCTCTTCTCTCTTCTCTCTCTCTCTTCTCTCTCCTCTCTCGTCTCTCTCTCTCCGTCTCCTCCCTCTCTCGCCTCTCTCTCTCTCTCCCGTCTGCTCTCTCCTCTCTCTCTCTCCTCTCTCTCTTCTCTCTCCTCTCCTCTCATCTCGGTCTCCTCTCTTTTTCTCAATCTCTATCATCTCTCGTCTCTCTTTCGCTCCTCTCCTCTCTCTCTCTCTTTCTCTCTCTCTTCACATCTTCTCTCTCTCATTCCTCGGTCATGTCAGTCCTCTCTTTCCATTCCTCTTCTTTCCTCACTCGACTCTCCGTCTCTCTCTCATCTCTCCTCTCTCTCCTCTCTCCTCTTTCTCTGCTTTCTCTCCCTCTTTCCAAGCACATCTCTCTCATCCCATCCTCTCCTCTCGTCAGTCTCCTCCTCTCTCTCTCTCTTCTCCATCTTCTTTTCACCCTCGGAATCTCCACTCCTCTCTCTCTCTCGCACACCCTCTCTCTCAACTCCTTCCTCTCATCCCTCTCACTCCTAATCTCAATCGTCCCCTCATTATTCTCCCGACGTTGCTTTCTCGATCTCTCATTTGTCTCATCTCCTCCCCTCTTCTCTTCTCCTCTCTCTGTCTCTCGGGCCGAGGGGCCGCCCCCCCCCCCCGGCCCCCCCCCCGCCCCCCCCCCCCCCGCCCCGCCCCCGCCCCCCCCCCCCCTCTCGTCTCTCTCTCTCGGTCCACCTTTCTCTCTCTCTATCTCCTCTCTCTCTCTCTCTCGTCTCTCTCTTTTCTCTCTCTCTCTACATCTCTTTTTCTCTCTGCTCTCTCTCTCTTCTTTCTTCTCTCCCCCTGCTCTCTCTCTCGTCCCTCGTCGCGTTCCTCTCTCTCCACCTCGGGTCTCCTCTCTCTCTCTCGTCTCTCATCTCCTTCTCTCCTCCGACTCCTCGTCATCTCTCTCTCTCTCTCATCTCTCTTTCTCGTCGTCTCTCCTCTCTCTACTCTCGTCTTCTCTTCTCTCTCTCCTCTCTCTCTCCTCTCTCTGTCTCCCTCTCATCCTCCTCGCTCTCTCTCTTCATGCTCTCTCCTCTCTCTCTCTGCTGCTCGTCTCTCTGCATTTCTCTCTCTCTCTCTCTCGTCTCATCTCACTCTCTCTCATTTTTTTTTCTTCGTCATCGTCCTCTCTCTCTCTCTCTCTGTTTCTCCCGAGTCTCTCTCATCCTGTCTCTCTCTCATCGATCCGTCACGCGTCTCCAGAATTATCTCTCCTCTCCACCTCTGCCTCTCGCTCTCCCTTCTCACCTTTCTCTCGATCCTGGGATCCAAGGTCTCTCCTCTTTCTCCTCTCTCGTCTCTCCTCCGTCTCCGCCAACCGAGCGTCTTTCGCTCGTCGCTCTCTACTTTCTCTCTCCCTTTCTCTTTCTTCGCTCCGGTCATCCCCCCTCCACTTCATCTCTCCGTCTCTCTTCTCTCTCTCTCTCCTCTGTCCATCTCATCTCTTCGTCCTCTCCTCTCGGTCCGTCTCTCCCTCTTCTCTCTTTCTCTCTCTCCCACTTCTCACGTCTGCTCCCAAGCCTCCTTCTCTCTCTTCTTTCTTCTCTCTCTCTCTCTCTCCCACCTTCTTATCTCCTTCTCTTTTCTCTCTCTCGGATCCAGATGTCTCTTCTCTCACTACAGTCTCCTCTCTCGACGTCCATCCTCAATAATCTCTCTCTCAGGCATCATCTCTCTCTCTCAGTCTCTCTCTCTCGTCTCTCTCACATCTCTCCTCTCGTCCTCTCTCTCCGCACCATTGGCACCTCTCTTCCGGCAGTCATCGCGGAGCTCTGCAATCCGGCCTCTCGCTCTGCTTCTCATCTCTCTCTCTCTCTCGTCTCTCACGAGTCACTTTCTCAGTTTCTTCTCATCTTCTCATTCTCTCCTCATCTCATCACCGATGCGCGGGTCGCCAGAACCTCTCTTCTTAGTCATCTTTCGTCTCAAGCAGGAGCTCTCCTCTATCTCTATCTCCGCTCTCCCCTCGGCATCTGTCTCATCCCCTCGTTCGAAGGGAGATCTGGGCCGTCGAAAGTCCTTGAGTCGGTTAAACTCTCGTCTTTCCCTGCTCTCTCACTCTCACCACCTCTGTTTTGCTCGTCAGACTGCGTCTCCCCTCTTCGTCGATCTTTCTCGTCTCTTTCTCGTCGTCTCAATCGCTCTTCTCATCTCCGCGATCTCACTCTCTTCCCGAGACCCAACGTCTCAGTCTCTCAGCCGCTCCCGATCTCTTCTCTCTCTCTTACTCTCTTCGCTCTCGTCTCTCTCCGCATTTCCTTCTCCTCCATCTCTCAGCTGCGCAGCCTCTCGCCCCTCTCTCTCTCTCTGTCAAATCTGTGTATCAGCAGCAGGACATATATACCGCTGATCACCACGCGTCAACGTACACCGCGCCCGTGCATCCCAGCCTGGCCCTCGTGGATGCTCGTGTATGCCTGCCTCCTCATCCTCCGCTACAGCTTATAGCGGCGCTGCTTTTCCAAGAAGCACGAGTTAGTTGACTGACCTTTAACTCTCGAGAAGGACATGTGGCGATACTGTGCGTATAATACGGGAGTGAAGGGGAGGAGTGGGCATTATGAGCGTATGATACGGCCCCCAGTGGAACTCGCTGCATGCAGCACGCGAGGACCAGCGCGTAAACAAACTCATGCTAGCCGCGTGGGATGCCCGCCCGTCCGCTCGCTCGCCTGCTTATATGCAGCGGGATGCTTCCCGACAGGGATGGAAATAGCCGCAGCCGGTTTCATCCGCCTCACAGTGGTTTTCTTTTTGCCAGCGCGAGGTATCCTGGGAAGGTTTGTCCTTACGTAAAGGGCTTCCGCTCCTGATGTCTTTAGAGCGTCAAGATCGTATTCTTTTCTGTTTTTGGAGCTTTTTCCTATTTACGCGTTTATATATTATTTTGGGAAAATTTCCATTTCATCTATTTTTCTCACGAGTTTGCGGTTGTGCGTTTCCCGTCCTGCAGAATTGAACCTTCCTCGACCCCCAGGATGTAGGGGGGTCTTTCCTCTCTCCCTCTCTTCCTCCTTTCCTCTCTATCTCTTCTTCCCTCCCTCTCTCTCTCCCTCTCTGTCTTTTCTCTCCGTCTCTCTCTCTCTATATATATATCTTCCTCCCTCCCCTCTCGCCCCTCTCTATCTCTTCCTCCTCCCTCCCTCTTTCCCTTTCTCCCCGCTCTCCCTCCCTTTCTCTCTCCCTCTATATCTCTTCCTCCCTCCCCTCTCTCCATCTCTATCTCTTCGTACCTTCCTTTCTTGATCAATGGGTTAGCACCTGGTAGAAACCTCTTATAATTCCTCAACCGTCTCCCTACGAGCGAACGAGACTGAGTTCGACTAACCACAATGATCCAAGCAACGCTTGTGCCAGCCTCTGACATGTTTCGTAATGATGATAGAAGACCATGTGCACCTTACACGCACTCTGTACGTTTGCATTGCATCGGATATATCGACTCTGTGTGAGAAAGAATCGGTCTTCGAGCTTCTTACAAGTAAAGGTTGAGTTGTTCTAGTGTAAATAGCAATCATGATTATCATAGTGCCTGTGAAGTACCGAGTAAACCTGAGCAATGGCAGAGGGCATCACTGCGAGACAGGTGTGATAAAACGAGCGGCAGGCAGATCGACTGACGACGCCAGATGTGTTAATTGCCCTCAGTTTCACTACTTCTCGCTTTTAATTTTGAATGGTTTTTGGTGTGCGTGCGCCACGAATACCAGCTTGGATATCCGGGCCAAGGACGCATGCATCTGCACAGCTGTATTATGCTGTGATTGGTGATGAGAAAAGAAGAGATGCTACGATAAGATTAGAACCCGTGCATGGTGAAGGGTCACATTGCCAAAATAAGCAGTTTAAACCAATTTTTGTTGCTTTATCTCATGACAAGCTATTTATGATGAGTAATGTATACACGTTGTTTAATTCAAACAGGGATGAAGCCAAAAGATATACATGTTTTTCCATCTGTTATTGCTACCTGATGATTGGCTTGTTGTTCATTATAGAATTTATATCTTATACATTATAACTGTATAGTCCAACCTGTATGTAAGTTAAAGGTCTAACCACTCCATAGACAGATGTTCACTCTACATGGATGACTGCTAAAACTAGTTTCATTGTATTTACTGAACAAACTTTATGCTTTACATATTCTATTGATTTGCTATTTTATTTCTTATTTGTATAGGTTACGGGGAGACTAGGGAGGCTGTTGCAAAGTATGTAAACTGTGAAGGGATGCCGGTAGAAGCTAAGGTACGTCACTATCGTTCTAGTTTTTATCTTGGTTGGAATAAATGGTCAAATTTTTGTACAAAGTTGAAACAACTGCATGCTTATATGGGAATAGCTCCAGGAACATTGCAGTGAAGTATGTTACGTGATGAAAGTCAGCTGAATGTAGAAATGTTCTCTATCGATCTCTCCCTATCTCTCCCCTTTTCTCCCTTTCTCTTCTTCCACCCCCTCTATCACTTTCGCTCGCTGTCTCTCTCCATCTTTCTCTGTCTCTCACAACTTTTCTAGCTATTAATTATTGTTTTTCAAGGCTTGTCACACTTACGAACCTTTTACCAGCGGCCAGACGTTTTCGTCAGTGCAAAACTACAAAACTAAACTGACATTGAAATTCGACAAAACCTTAACTGTGAAAAATTTACCATCTCTCCACCAGCTCCTACTTTTAACCAGTGTTTCAACTCTGTGCCCTTCAATTCTTCTAAACCTCAGTTACTGATTAGCAATCCTAATTAAAAACGCTGCAATTTCTGCAATGCACACCGCAGCCGGATGTGATGAAGCTGCTGGCACGTACCCTTGCTTGCTACCAGTTTCTTGTTTTATATCCTCCGCTCAGCTATATGTTGAACGCAGCTGATGACATGCACGATGTAAAGCATCCCTTTAATTTAACTACGAACTCTTTACCAGTGATCGACCTCTTTGATAGTAGATCTAATCCAATCTAACGTAGGTTCATCCTTTTGAGGATGAATTCTTCATCCTCTTTTTAAAGAAACTTAACCGTTATCGCGTCTTTTTAATGTCGACGTTGAACCTTGTAAGACTATAATATGCGGCATGCTCACATCGTACGTTTATAATGTTGATGGTAAACTATGTTAGACTATATGTCATATGCACACGCGTGGGTTTAGTGTTTCACACGTGCGCGTGGAACTATATGGGACTATATGCTGCGCACACGCGTGTGTGTTTAGGATGTGATAATGACTGGTGGATGCTCGCACGCCCTCGACTTGTGCATTCAAGTGATCGCCAACCGTGGCCAGAACATTCTCGTCCCCAAGCCTGGCTTCTCGATCTACAAGACGCTCGCCAATTCCCTCGGCATCCACTGTAAATACTACAGCCTGCTGGTACGTGCCATGTGTGTGTGTGTGCGTGTGCGTGCACGTTTGTATGTATGTATGTGTGTGTGTGTGTGTGTGTGTGTGTGTGTGTGTGTGCGTGCGTGCGTGCGTGCGTGCGAGCGTAGGTCAAACTTGGAATAAGCAGCAATGACTGTCATAGGTGTTTACTCACGCGCGTGCGTGTCCGTGCGTCTGTCGCTGCAGCCGGACAAGGACTGGCAGGTTGACCTTGAAGACCTCGAGTCGCAGATCGACGGCCTCACCGCCGCCATTGTCGTCAACAACCCGTCGAACCCGTGCGGCTCCGTCTTCACGCGGCGCCATCTGGAGGAGATTCTGCAAGTCGCAGAGGATAACTACGTGCCGATTATAGCAGACGAGATTTACGCGCATTTCGTACGTGTCGTCCATTCGCTCGTATAATTGAAAATATACAAAAAAATCTAAATATGAACACAAAAATATAGATATTTGTATGCATGCTGATTGGAATAAAACCTACGAGGTTTCGCTGAGAGTGTAAATGATCGACAGGTGCTATAATGAGTTACCTGCTTCTAGAATGTCGTACCTGGCATTGACTATGCTCTATTACCGACGTTTACAGGTGTTTTCGGGGCACGAGTTTTATCCGATAGCAAGTCTGACAACGAAGGTCCCTGTTCTGTCTTGCGGTGGACTAACTAAAAGGTGATTATCTGCCTGAGTTTCTGCTGAGTTATTGTAGAAATACGATGAACATCTCTTGCAGGAAATCTGTAGTTTGGTGCAAACTGTGAACATCTGCAGTTTGGCAAAAACTTTTATCTCTGAAACAAATTCTCTCCGAAATAAGAGCGGCTTAGACAGTAGTATAGTCATTTCATAACGGTCGATCCGCATTCTTATTATAAGATGTTTCATGAATGTGTTGTGGTTTTGATTGGTAGGTTTCTGATCCCTGGGTGGAGGATGGGCTGGATCACGATCCATGACAGAAACGATATATTCAAAGAGGTAAATGATCACTTTGGCTTCTTGCTAAATATACTTTCTCAGCTCTCTATCTCTCTCAAATCTCCTCTGAAATCAGCTCTTGCCTGACACGTTTGCAGATATCATCTGTCTCATATGTGAAATGGCATCATCTTGATCATTATAATGGTAATATCACTATGACAGTATGATTTTGCACTGAGAATGACTCCCTCCTTTCTCTCCCACCATATGACTCATGCCCTCTGGTGGGTCAGAACCATGTTTGAGTTAATACATCAGTCAGTGCACCTGAGTTTCTTGTCGTGCCCCCTGCATGGTGGCTCATCATTGCTGTTATGTCCATGTTTGTGTGACATAGAATGAGTTTCGCTTTCTTGCCGCGTGGTCGCTCGTTGTTGCTATTGCATCCATGTTTGTCTGACAGCTTGTTATACTTGGATTCCTACATAGGTGCGACTGGGCCTGACCGCACTGACTCAGAGGATTCTGGGCCCCAACTCTCTTGTGCAGGCCGCCATTCCGAAAATACTCACGCAAATACCGCAGAAGTACTTTGACGACACCCTGGCCATTCTCCAGGTTAGAGATTGCATCTATACGTGCCCTTATTGTGTGTGTGTAACGACACTTCTAGGTTTCATAGTCGAAAGGGTACGTCAAGAATGACAATAAAGGTATTTCACGTAATTTCTTCACAATTGCATTATTGGCAAGCCAACGCGATGGCGTTCCATGGTTAAAAAACTATTCTTATTAACTTGATAAGAGATTTTCTAATCTCTCAAAAGCCATAATTTAAACCCTTATCTATCTCTCTCTCTCGCTTTCTCTCTTTCTCTCTCTCTCTTTCTCTCGCTTTCTCTCTCTCTCTCACTCTCTCTCTCTATATAATATATATTATTCACTGTTTCAGAGAAATGCAGAGATCGGTTACAATGCTCTCTGCAACGTTCCTGGTCTGAAACCAGTGATGCCAGCCGGTGCAATGTACATGATGGTGCGTACATCTGTAAACTGGCATTCACACAGAACTGAAACTACCTATTTACACTAAGTGTGCACTAGTAATTGTCATATAGCAATAATTGTAACAGAGTGCTCGTAACTTAGTAATTACTATATATAGTAATTGTAACATGGCAGTTGTTGCATGGTAATTGTAACATTTGTAAAATAATTATTTACATATATTACATTATTTTATCATTATTACATTATTATTACATAATTATTATAAAATGGTAATTGCTGTATAGTGGTTATTGCTAGCACAATAAGGAGCGGTTTTCCGAAAGGCTTCGAAGTTTATAGAAGATGCGAGGCGTTGTGCAGTTCTGAAACTTTGTCTTTCTGTGCATACAGGTGGGACTGGAGATGGATAGATTCCCTGCGTTTGGGAATGACCTGGAGTTCACTGAGAAGATGGTGGAGGAGCAATCGGTTTTCTGCCTGCCGACACAGGTAACCGATGGCAACGCGATGAAGCCATATGTAATGGTGAACACTCCAGCAGTTGTTCTCCTTGCAGCTATACAGTCAGATCTGTATGTTAGCAGACATGTGAACGTTCCTTTCATGTGTGTGTGTAAGGACAACGATAACTAATGGGTGTTGGCTGTCTCTTCCAGTGCTTTGCCTACTCCAACTACTTTCGCATCGTCCTAACTGTGCCAGAGGAGAAGCTGGTAGAGGCGTGCGAGAGAATCACAGAGTTCTGTCACAACCACTACACGCATGGAGACGAGGTGAACGGGGAGGCAAGCATATACGGACTGAAAGACATCGGCAGCATAGAATGAGCGTCTGCAAGATCTGCCTCTCGCTTCTCTCCATCGATGTTACTACTAGTGCCGAGTATTAAACTTTATGACGCGGCTCGAAGGTATGTGCGAAGGGGACGCTTGATTCGTCGCTTCTGTGCGCAGACCGCACTACCCCAGGGCTGTTTCACCAGCTTATGGTTAGATGCAATAGGGTTAGCGTGAATTTATCACGTGTTTATACCCTTGTCTATTTTCTGCGTGAGTATATCCAAAATATTGCAAGCTCGTGTGCATGCCAGTGTTGTTTTATGCTGTCAGTTCCAGTTAGTGGTAGGGAAACGGTATCGGTAGCACTTTCAGTAGCAGGGTCCATCACGTGCCTTAGAATACACTGTACATAGTAAGGCATTAACCACTATATGTCAGGACTGAATACATACAGACAAGTTCGTTTTTCATTCACTCCTGGCTACACTATTAATACCATGCTCTGGCTGTGTGGTTAAGTTTGAAATGATCTGTCATTACTGCACTTTTTTGTTGGTTTCATTAGTATGTTTTCTAGAAATTTATGTTGAATGATGAAACGCACACAGCTTCATTGGCTAAGGGTAGAGCAGCTCCATATTTGTCTCATGTTGAACCTTTGGGTTTAGGCTCAGGTTCAATTTAATGGAGTTTTGGTATCACCATGAACACACACACACACACACACACACACACACACACACACACACACACACACACACACACACACACACACACACACACATCAAATAACTAGACAGAGGGCACTCAAAAAGAGTGCATACCTCCGCGAGCGTGTAACATGTATACATGTGGTATAACAGCTGCTCGCTGCTGGCTGCCTGCTGACTGGACGGCCTAAGGCGGAGCTGGGTGCCTGAATCGATCGATCGGTTGAGCGTGTGTATAACAGCTAGCTCGCTGCTGGCTACACACACACACGAAAATTAACACACACACGCGAGCGATTGCATGACCTCCGTTTGCAACGCGGAGGTAATTATGTTCATGGAATTACCATATACAAACCTTGCCATTTGAAGTGTAAATAATGTTTGCTGAATGGAGAAAGAATGAACAGAACCTCTACACTATCTTAGAGGATAATGAGCGTGATCAGCTGCAAACATCGAGGAAAGAATCGTTTAGTTTAGTGCTCTATTTATTTTAATAATTGTGTATAAACTATTAGTGGTATAGGGTCCAGGGATTCAGCATAGGTTAATGTATAGATAGATCTTCAAAGTAGTGACATTTCGTGGCAAGATACTCAAGTGTTTGCGAACTCGTTTTTTTTCTGTAATTTTATTTAGTACCCATAAGAAGCCGTAAATGGCTCGAACTCTGCGGGTTATTTATATTTCTATCAAAACTTTGTTGATGTAGGACTCTTGGATATTGTTAGGTCCTAGGAACATTATTGCTTCTGTATCAACTAAATTTGTCCCAAGCGTAGATGTTTGAACGATAGAGAGTAGCGATGATCTTGCCTGTGTTTTGTGAAAATTTGAAAGATAGTTTTCACATTTTCACGGTAAGCCTGCCCAGCCTAGTGCAATACAAGTGGTTTCTGTCAGGAAGAATATTTGCTCAACTGTTATATCGTCTTATGTAGCGTGTGCCGTTTTCATTATGGACTGCAAATGTTAGAGTGCAGAGGTTGTGAGAGCTGTTGTAGAGCATCGAGGATGTGCACTACTTTTAGCAGGGTAAAATGATGCTTGGCACAATTTGTGAAGTAAAATATATAATATAGTCGTTGATAGATTTGTCGGCAGTATGGTGAAGGCATACTGGATTGGTGAAAGGTTGTGTTGTACGTGAATTGTTTAGTTTTGTTCATTGATACAGCCGTTTTTAGTCATTTACACCAAATGCAAGTCTTTTTCTTAATGGCAATTACAGCTGGGGTAAAATAACATGAGAATTTTTATAACAAAATTGTTATGTACAGAGGATTCATGTGCGAAAGTATTTAAGGTTCTTTTTGAGAAATGCATGTGAACTCGCTTTTGCTCGTTCACGGATGGTTTGGTACGGTGTTGTATGGTATGGCATGGTATGGTATGGTATGGTATATTATGGCATTGTACAATTATATTTTATTGTTATCATTGGTGCATGACAATTAAAGCATTGTAAATAAACTCCCAAATTGTATGACACGCGTTTTTTCGGATATTGATCTCTCTCTCTCTCTCTCTCTCTCTCTCTCTCTCTCTCTCTCTCGTTTCACTCAGGCTTTTTTCCCAATAACTCAGCTGTATAAATATGCCTAATCTCGCTCATCGTGATGTCTATATGGATAAATTCTAAGAGTAACTTATATGCTCTCTATGCTCTAGCCACGTGTTGAGTAGGGAGGATCGCAAGTACTTCTTAATCATTTTAATTTTTCATAAAAACGTCCGGTTATCGAGCCTATGATTAATATATATATATATATATATATATATATAATATAATATATACGATATATATATTATATATGTATAGTATAATACAGTAATACCGTTCGCATTATGTACAATTTCGGTTAGAGTCGTACTTTTACGGAATTCGCTCCTAAATAAACTAGTAAATGACGACCTACATAGAACCTAATATGGGACTCACGACAAATATAGGAAGCTGCATGCATGTATACATCTTATCACGTAATTGTAAAGTGGATAGTAAATGTATTGAGTAAATTACATTTTTTATTTGGGGAGCAAACATCGGAGGGAAAACTTTTACACACACAGGCACTTGGAACGTTTCAATAGTAAACTTATGGTATATAAACAACGATATGTATTCCTACCAAGTCTCTATACGACTGTCCAATGTTCCAGCTACTCTTCTTTCGCACTATTAAATTCCTGTAAATGCTTAAAATGCTGGCTCTAGCGGCAGACAACGTACACCGCACGCTACCCGCTGTAAGCATCAAACAACACGCACACCCGACGCCGACCCGTCTGCTATCACAACAACACGCACACCGCACCACGCTACGCGTACGCCTACACGCACGCCACGCCCGCTGTACGTACGACCTCGCACGCATCGGCCGCTGTATCGTACAACCTGCACGCACGTGGCCGCGTGCACAAACAACACGTACACCGCACGATGGACACGCGCGCTGTACGTACCGCATCGCACCGCTACGCACCGCACGCACAGCCGCACGCCTACTGCCGTGTAGCGTACACCCGCACGCACCGCGCGCTGTGCAAAACAACACGCACACCGCACGCACGCCGGCTTGTGCACAAACAACACGTACACCGCACGCACGCCGGAGGCTGGTAACACAAACAACATACACGCAACGCACGCCCTGTGCACAAACAACACTACCACCGCACGCACGGATATTTGGGCTAGCGGCAAGGAAGGTTGGTTGCAGCTGCAGGCGCATTGCACAAAACAACACGCACAAGTTTTCGCGGAGTGCGTTCCGCACGCTAACGCCGCTGTATGCACAAACAACAGGTACAGGGCCCGCATCGCAACGCCGCTGTGCACAAACAACACGTGGTTCATACCGCACGCACGCCGCTGTGCACAAACAACAAGTACACCGCACGCACGCCGCTGTACACAAACAACACGCACACCGCACGCACGCCGCTGTGCACAAACAACACGCACACGCACCACGCCGCGTACATACACCGCACAGCAATCGGCGCTGTGGGCACAAAGCACAAGTACATCTGCCCAAGTCGCAACGAGCCGCTAGTACCCAAACAACACGCAGCTACCGCACCGCACGCCGCGTGGCACAACAACACGCACACTGCACGCACGCCCGTACGTACACGGCGCACCAACTTTGCCTGCTGGCACAAAACAAGTACACGCACGCACGGGTTCGCCCGCTGTATCACAAAGCAAATACACGCACACCGCACAACGCCGCTGTACACAACAAACACGCAACCCGACGCACGCCGCTGGCACAAAAACACGCACACCGCACGCAATACTCCGCTGACGTAAAATGCCGCACGCACGCCGCTGTGCCAACAACAGTAGCGCCGCCACGGGAGACGCCTCTGTATCACAAGTATGAAAATGAACACCACATCGATATGTTTTTTTTTCGGTCCGGCCGCAGCGCCACCGCCGCCTGTACACAAACAACACGCACACCGCACGCACGCCGCTGTGCACAAACAACACGCACACCGCACGCACGCCGCTGTACACAAACAACACGCACACCGCGTACGCACTGCCGCTGTGCACAAACAAAACAAGCACACCTCGCACGTCACGCCGCTGTGCAACAAACAACACCACAGGCCGCCGTGGCACCCGCGGCACAAACCAGCACGCACCCGCACGCACGTAAGGTGTAGATGATTAAGGGCTCGTACGCGGAGCCGCTGTTACACAAACAACACGCACAACGCCACGCCGCCGCTGTAACAGCAAACAAGCACGCACATCGCACAAACAGCCGCTGTGCACAAACAACTACGCATCAACATTCCGCACCACGGTTAGGAGCTCGATGCTGGGGATGGTGCTCGTCTCCGGGCGCCGCTGTACACAAAAATCACGCACAACCGCACGCGTACGCCGCTGTGCACAAACAACACGCCCACGCCGCACGCAATCGAGAGCTGGGGTGTTCGTTGATTTGTGCATGGGGACGATAGACCGACTGTAATACAAACAAAACACTTTACACCGCACGCCACCGCCGCTGTACAACAAACAACAGGTACAACGCGGCACGCACGCCGCCCTGGTGCAAAAACAACACCAACACACGCCGCACGCACTGACCGCTGTGCACAAACAACACGCACAGTCCGCACCGACGTGCCCGCCATGTGACAAACAACACGGGCACAACCGCACGCTACGCCGCTGTGCACAAACAACAAGATATAAAGAAAAGTCAAGTAAAAAGAGTAACCGAGAATAATATTTTGCAAACATGCATTTAAAATGAATGAGTTATCCTAGCACAGATTTATATGATAGCATGCCAGAATTAGTATGTTAGCGCATTGCGCAATATCGTCGGCGCGGTAGAAGAAAAGAGCGATCTGAGGGACACAGGGATGCAAGGGGAAGGGACGCGCGGGCATAACGTAAGGTGTTTTGTACCGCCTACATGCTCGGGCCACTCCTATATAATAACAGGCGCACTGCAACATAATAAAATTATTTGGGAAATCTATCTGAGATACCCATCAAGCCATAATAACACTTCATATTTATCACAAAAATATAAGCTCCTCTATGGGGGAGATATGCGCATGCCGCTAAACACAAACTACACGTAGCCAATGTGTACTGGCTGTATACCAGCCCGGACCTACATGCAGAGTCTCCCTCTATTTCTAATGATTCTACAGATGGAATGTATTATATAAATCAATGCTAAGAAACTCCATCTTCATTTAAAAGCATAATTTTCGGCAAATACAATTCTCTCGAATAATTACGGCATGCTCTCGCATCCGTGTAATCGGCAGTGACCCGTCTGAAAGAAAAACTTTATAATAATTATAGCTGCTGAGGGGAGAGGATAGGAGACAGTGAGGAAAATGCGACAGGAAATATGCTGGGGGCGAGTAGATAGAAGAACGACGCCGAGTCGCGGAGAGGGGCAGGCAAGCGGAATTACGCGAGGCATAAAGTAGCGTGTTCTTGTACACTACATGCTAGTGCGCTCCTCAATTATAACACATGTCAACTGATAAA